CCGGTCCGGGGCCCCTGGGTACCGGCGTGTGTCTGTGTGCGCGTCTGGGTGGGTGGAGGGCCCCGCGCCGCCCTGCTGACCCTTGAGTGCGTGTGAGCGGCCTCGGCTCAGCGCCCCAACAAGCTGTGCTTGCGCCAGGAAAGCGCGCGCGCGCGCCCGTGCGGGGTGTGTGTGTGTGTGAGTGTGTGACAGTGTGTGTCAGGTGACTTGGGTCACGCAGTCTCTCTCTCCCTCCTCGAGGGAGGAACTGCCGCGCTCCGGCTGACTCCTCCGCCGGCAGGCGGCCGGGCGGGGCGGGGCGGGGCAGGGGGCTCCGGGCGCGCAGGGAACCGCGGGACCCAGACCCGGACGCCGACCGCCGCCGTGGAAGCGCCGCCCCCGCCGGCTCCCGCGAACCTCCGGACAAACCCCAATTCAGAAATAGGTTGCGGGCGTCAGGCCAGGAGGTTTGCCCCCCCCCAACCACCATCAGGGTCCCCCTCCACCCCTGGGACGGCTGGCCGTGGGCGCGATGAGCCAGGTGCTGGGGAAGCCGCAGCCGGAGGACGAGGACGACGACGAGGAGGATGAGCTGGTGGGGCTAGCGGACTACGGGGACGGGCCCGACTCCTCGGACGCCGAGCCGGACAGCGGGGCAGAAGAGGGAGGTGAGCGCCGGGTCCCCTGCCTGGCCCCCTGCCTCGAGCTTCCATCAGCTCGCACCCCTGCCTGGCCAGGCGTGCGGGCCGCCGACTTGGAGGGGGTCCAGGAGAGCGGAGTTGCAGGGTGGGGGTGGGGAGGGGCACCAGAGGAGCCACCACGAACTGCAAAATGGGGGAGCCCGGAGGCAGGCAGCGTTGGGGCGACCAGGATCGGTTTGCAGGGCAGAGAAGCGTCTGGGCTGTAGGAACGCGCGCTCTCTGGCAGTTCCAGGACCAGTACCTCCCCCACCCCTCATCCTGAGCTCTCCGCAGGCACGGGGAGGGGACCTCCCGGCGCGCCCCGGGACCTCTCCCTGACTGCTTCTATCAAAGCCGGGGTCAGATGTCGTGGCTAAAAAAGGCAGCCGGCGGCAGCATGACTGGCAAGGGTCGTCGCCAGCTGCGGGTGTCAGTCTTGCCTTGTGTCGCCGCGGGAGGGGTCCAGGGGCCGCCCAAGTCTGCGGAGTAGGGGCACCGGTGGAGCGGCGGGGGATGCGCCAGGTGATAAAGAAGTCGTTGAGTGGCCGCAGATTTCCGGAGATACAGGCAAATACGGTTGTTAGGACATCTATCTCTCTGCTCAGTGTCACCACCTGGGCATGCAGCGCCTGCCTTAGAGTGATCACAGGGCGGGGGAATACATGGCCACTTAGAAGCAAACTCTGTTTCCTGTTCAAGAAGCGGGATTTAGTAATTGTTCAGCCTTGTTGAGGCTTCCTGCATTTAATTATTAAGGCCTAAGGAAGTCGAGAACTTTTTAGGATTCCAGAAGGGTTCATCTTTTTTGTTTCCCTCCAAAGCAAGGAAAATGTTCTTTATTGTAAGGTCATTTGGAAAGGTCAGTAGAATGAGCCTGGTAACCATAACATCTAGGTGAAGCTGTCTGCGTCCTAGAGAAGGAACTAACTTTTAAAATGTTCACTTTGAAGAAGTTGTATGAGGGCTAAAAAGTACTTTAGTAACTTGATTTTCAAGAACTTTCATTGGAAATTCATTGAACTTATTTCAAATTCCTCATACAAAGCCCGCGGTAGGGGGATGGGGGTGGGAAGTTTTCATTATTTTGCGTACGGTAGGTGCTACTTTCAATTAATCAGAAAAGGAAGAACGTTAACTAAATCTTGAGCCCGATAGATGAGAAAGGAGCTTTCCTAGTCACCCTTTTTCATAGTGTCCGGTCCCCAGGGAGGATTTGTGCTAAATCCCCATTTGCTTAAACTCGTGTTGCACCTGTGCGAGCCTCTCTCTCCTGCACTCCCGGTAATTGGTCCCACAGTTGAGCACGTGGCCACATTTTTGTAGATAAAGGCTTTCAACCCTTTTGTTGGAGTCTCTGGGTCTACCTTTGGTAATTAAATTGTTCAGTCGCCTCATTATTATTCAAATTGCATTTGTTAGCTCCTCCTAGATTCTTAGGAGGCTCCAGAGAAATTCAGAATGGGGATGGATTTGCAAGGTATTTGAAATGGTAGACAACTGGGTGCATGTGTGATCCTCTTTTTTTTTTTTAAAAAACAAGAAAAGAAATAAAAGAGGCTATATCTGGGAAGAAAAATCCTGTAATTTGATATTGTCCTGGGGGCCAGAGGCTGGGTTCCAGGGAAAGCACTGCATCTGTGTGTTTATTTGGCAGTTCTTTAAGGGGGCACTTTAAAATTTTGATTTGGGGACTTGAAATTAATGCTTTGCCTGAAGGGCCAGGATTTCCTGAACATAGGGCTTCCCCAAAGCTGGTATTGGATGCTCCCCACTGCTCCTAACCAAAGGCACACTTGCCTGTAACTGATGCTTTTGATTACTTCAGTAATAAAATCCTCCCTCTTGAGTTCCTGGGATCAAACTAGAATCTTGAAGCACTAAGTACACTTGTGTGGTGAGAGGAGCCAACATTAGTGAAGCCTGGCCTGCTGTGGATTGGTGGTCTGTTCTCAGAAAATGTCCTCCACTCTCGCGGGCTCCTGTTCTTTCCACGTATTGCTGGCTTTGATTTTGGGGGTTTAGGCCTGAATGCAGAATCTATCAGAACATTCGCTTTCTGAAGTAGCAGATAGCCCCTCAGTCAACAGTTCTAGCAAGGATGGGCCCTGACAATTGTCATGCCAGCTGATGTGGTCCTGGGGAGTCGAGATGGGGGTGGAGGCTGTGAATTGGGACTTCAGTTCTTGTGGCCTTCTGTTCCTGAGACCTCATGGTGCCACCAAATGGTCATCCCAGTTTCTAAAGGGCCCTGGGCACATGTTGCATTATAACCCTGTGTTATTTCTGATAAAATTTACACTTAACCTACTCTCAAACTCAAGAAATGGAAAGTGGGGGGTGGGGAAGAGGACTTATTTACTCCGAGAAAAGATGAAGAGGGTGCACTTTGAACTGTGAGCAGTATTTCCCTAATGAATTCCTCCCCCTTCACCTTCCTAATGGACTTAGTTAAGTGCCTGAGCTACATGGAGACCTGGGGTTTTTTCCATGAGGTTCAGAAATCTACCCTGGCGAGTGGGATGCAGACCTGACCAGTATTGCTGGCAAAAGAATGTGATTGAAGGTGAACAGTGTGATTTTTATTTCCCGTAGTCTTCCAGGGAACCTCTGATCTTATTTTAAAACTGAGTGCCTTGTAAATTTTACCACATTGTGCTAAGTTTGAAGACGTAGTGCAGCTAAGGTGAGACTGAAATTGCACTTCTCTGGCTTACAATGCATATTTGATTCCTGAATAGCAAGAGTGTTCCCTTTAGTTCTGGTATGGAAAGATCTGGATACCACTCAACCCCCCTTTCAGGGTAGTTAATCAGAGATAAGATGAATCTCCCCGACCTTTTGTATAAAGGTATGAAGAGATGGGTTGGTGCAAGGCATGGAAGAAGTTTTAAGCAAAGGCAGACCTTCTGTTACCCCAAGATTTAAGGGGCATTTATGACAGCAGCAGTCAAATGCAGCTTACCACTTGAGAGGCAGCTGAATGGATGCTCCTGGGATAGAAGAGCAAACAACTTTCAATCCTAATAAAACTTGAGAGGCAGCTGAATGGATGCTCCTGGGATAGAAGAGCAAACAACTTTCAATCCTAATAAATGATTATAAACCATCAAAAAAAAAAAAAGAATGAATCTCCGCTTCAACCCCACTGCTCCAGATAAAACTCCAGAGACAGAGGCAATAATTAAGCCATTAAAAACAGTTGCACCAAAGCAGGGAGGGTATAGTTCAGTGACAGAGTGCTTGCTTAGCATTCACAAGGTCCTGGGTCCAATCCCCTTCATTTAAAAATATAAATAAGCCTCTTTACCTCCCCCCACAAAAAACCCCCACAAAAACAAAACTGTAAAAAAAAAAGAGAGAAAGATAATTTAAAAAACCCAATTGCACCAAAAAAATTATTGTTTTTAGACACATGGACTTAAAGTCTTAAATAAATTACAGTGCTTTAAAAACTGTGATAACAAGGAAAACCAAAGATCATATTTAATCAGAAAGTGAAATTATTTTTTCCCAAAGTCCCTCCCAATTTTTAGGGGAAATTTGGCTAAGGCAGCTGCTCACACACAGTCCAGCTAAGTGTGGTCTTATTTCCATAGCAGCCTGTGCACTCTCTTAGGATCTGAGGAAGTGACAATTTAGGTGGTTACTGGAGACATGAAAAATCCAGGGTCAGCAGGTGATATACTTCCCTGATGGGTGTAAATGCGATGAGTCTGGCAGCTCACTTCTATTAATCATGAGTGTCAGCTTTTTTTTCTTAAAATACTTTAAAAAATTATTAGTGAATTTATCTTCTCATTGTTTCTTTAGAGTAAGTAGAGAAAATTGTTTTCCTGATAGTGAAACTGTGGTCCAGAGGTGCCAGTGGACTTTTCTGCAGCCACAACATGAGTTAGAACTGTGCAAGGTTTAGGAGAGGGTCAAGTTCAGGTAAATGTAAGTCCCTTCTCTTGTCCCTCTGCCTTGTCCAAAAAGAGTTGGGTTGACTATAGCCCTGGCTATAGCTAATCTCTTGGATTTCCATCTGGCCCTGGAAATACAGTGATAGATAAATGTTGGAATAGATGGAAACAGAATAGTTAAAAATGATGTGATGAAGGTCACACCTTAGGCACAGAGCATATTCAAGTATATATAGTTAGCATATTTTTATATCATGTTTGTAAACATGTTTTGGTGATTCCCGGTATCTCAGAATCTTGATTCTCTACTTTTAGCAGAAGTCTCTCCCATTTTTTAAAAACTTTTTTTTCCCCTTTTCTTTGGGGGGGAGTTGGTAATTAGGTTTATTTATTAATTTATTTTTAGAGGAGGTACTAGGGATTGAACACAGGACCTTGTGCATATTAAGCGTGCACTCTACCACTTGAGCTATATCCTCCCCCCTCTCCCATTTTAGTATTAGAGCAGACATGGGGTAGTTTAATGGGAAAAGGAGGCAGGAACAGCAAGTTCTGGAGTTCTAGATTAAGGTGTGGCTCTAAGTTTGAAGGATTATCTTTTTCATTTCTGGGTGCCGTGTCTCAGTTCACTCTGCTTTGTTCAGTCCCTTCAACGCCCATAGCTGCTGGTGACACGATTTCACTTCCTGCCACAGTCACTTCTGCTCATGTGTCTCATGTCTTCTCTACCTCCTTTATTCTTATTCCTTACTTTAAAAAAAAGAGAAAGGCAACTCTTAAATTCTCTCTTAAACAGGGCTTCAAAGCTCTCGTGTGACAGTGGCTTTCCCTGGTTCTGCTGTGACACACAAAACAGGTTTTTCACTCCTGGCCTAAAGCACCCAGGGAGCTGGTCGACCTTGTCCTCTTAAGCACCTCTGGGGAAGACTCAAGCTGCATTTCTCCGTGTATAAAACCAACCTTGATCACTCTGAGTGATTGTTTTAAAAAAAACTCACAAGAGCACTTTTCCCTTCTTCAGGATCATTGATAAATCAGAACACATAAGAAATGTTGTTGAACACACATGTAAGGGAAATATTTGCA